TTAACGTCAATCAATACGTGGAAGATGACGTCTTTTGCTTGATTGTTGTTCAAAATTTTCTTTCAGCTTTCTTTTTATTTCTGTAATCGTTCATTTGCACCAGCGAACTAACATTATGGGAAATCAGTTTACAATCTTACAGTCACAGAACAATAGTATGTGAAACCCTCACTACGATAACAAGGCAAAATACACCCGTTCTAACTGTAAATGACGACGTACGACGTTAGTTACTTTATAGACATACCGTTGATCTGGAACGTGATATGTTAAGTAAGACTTTTAGGAAAAATGTATCGAACTTCAACGGCCCTACAACAACGATAGGCAAACTAGGAGTAACTTTTAATAGTCACCTTTTTTGTAAATGCTGTAGTTCACTAGTAATTGAGGCATAAAGAACGAAATTCAAAGACTGTACTGGATTCTATTAGCACAGTCAAAATCCATAAGAATGGTGCATGAACTCAAATATAACTATTCACTTAATTCAAGATGGGTGGATAGAAGCCAAAGTACACGATCGGACATCCTGAAAGTATATCAGTTTGTGAGCATAGAATGAAACATCTAATGATTGTGAAATTCATTTTACTTTCACTCTGAACGACATCCAAAGAAGATTAATGCACAAACACAAATAAAAATGAATACTACTCACTTATCGAATAATGTGAAACTGCTAAGGTTACATTTTCCTTTCTTTCTATTGTTGAATACATTGTTCGAACTTTTTAAAGGTGTTTGTTTAAAGGTTTTGAATTGGTATTCGGTTTTCATATAGCCATGTATACAATATCACAATTAATCTCATTGGTCACATGAATTAAGTGGTCTCCTTCACTTCCTTGACGAAATCCAAAACCTGAACCTAATCGAGCAAACAATGTTCTCAGTCGGTATCATTTCACTACTTACTTACAACAAATGACAACTGACTACTTATGCGATTATGTCGAATGTAATAACATGCAAGTGGGCATCCTAAAGGACGAAGAGAGAGGATTGCTAATGCTTTGCATTAATAACGTTTAGTTTTCATTTGACAATGCAATCTCCAGACAAAGAAGTGAGGAAACTGCTGACTAACCAATTCAGTGCAGTCATTGAACAGTTTGTATTTGTGAACGTTAAGCTGATGGCATTTTTTGTTATCAATGAGGATTGTGATATAAACAATGTTATGACAGCTTTTAATTCAGCTCATAACAGTAGTAAATCCAACAAAAGAGTCAAACAACAAAAACAACCAAATTACTTTTTTTGGATGTTGTTATATTAGGAAGAGAAGATGGTTCATTTCAGTGAAAAACGTTCAGGAAATAGATCTGGAATGGTTAGTACATTCATTTCGGCAGTTTCGTTCCGTTACACCAAAGGCGGAGTCGCATGCGAGTTCTGACGGGTAGGGCGTTAAAGATATGCACCCCTGACACTGCACAAGTTGAGCTAGGTTTCCCACAAAAGTGTTCAAGCAGAATGATTTCCCAGCGCGTTTTTGTTTACTAGTGTCGAAAATCATACTTTGGTCGTACTATAAGGTGGTTGTTTGGCAGAGTGCTTGAACATCATCCGGCGTGATTAAACAGTGAGGTGATTAAAACGGTTTCCGGTGCGGCTGTTACTCACTTGATCGACTCTAACCATTCTGACAATGAGAAAAATGCTTTTCTGATTGTCTACTGGGTGCCCAGAAATCGATCAAAAGCGGTTAGATTCCGAATTCTGACAGTTGCCAAAACAATCAGTGTCCAAATAAGTAACCGTGATCTTTAAGCTCAGAAAAAAGTTTGTGCGGACACTTGATCTCTTTTGGCTTACAACCAATCAAGCTAATAATCTGGAACAACGATGACGTAACCACTGACAAACACACAGTCCATTATCTCTACTGGCCGATTTTCGGACTCACCCCAGTTACAGCTTTTCATATTTATTATGTTATAATTACCGTGATAATCAAACGCAGAAAACTAGTCTGTTCGCTATTCTGTCGTTCTTCGGTGATTTCGTTGATTGCGCTTATTATACATACCTATGGTGACGGTAGATTAAGCTGACTACTGGTTCCAACAGATGCAACTTCAGCCAATAAGAGAAGCCAGATTTAACCTCGAATAAACATACGATTTGGTGACCACATCATAACTAGTGTCAACAAACATGCCAGCAAATTTGGCAATATCACCCAATGCAATCCAGCTTTTGGTTTCGTGGAAGGATACTCGGACGTTTTCAGTCGGCTGACTGACTGTTTGTGAATAATGCCAGGAATTATCCATCAAGGGACTGTCGATGTCGGCTTGTCACTGAATTACGTCTACACTTTCACTCCTTGGACTGTAATTCTCAAACCTGCAAAACCTACCTACAATTCTCCATCCTCCGAACAGTGTAATATTGACGAAAATAATTCACCAGAGTTTTTGTTCAATTGTTCACGTATGAGAATTCTTACGGTTCTTTGGACACGAACAAGCTACTAATAGTTTCACGATCTTCTTGTGTGTTTTTGTCGTTCGCCACCATGATGACTAAAAAATCAAACTGGAAATATCGTAAAAAAAAACAACTGCTGAGTCCAGGGAACGGTCAATACTATGATTCTCGGAATGATTTACAAAGTAATACGGTCGTCACATTGTGATCGGTTATGGAGCTTGTATCGATTAAATTCACCGGGTTCACGTTTTATAAACTAGTGAAGGCAATACTAGTTTTCAGAGACGATGCAAAGTTGATTCAGGTCTAGATCTTAATCATCGTGGTATATGAAAAGATTATACAAGTATTAACAAGTGACAGAGTTCTCTGACAACTAGGTTGTTGACGATTTTGTAGTTTGTTGATGCGGACCATATTAGTAGCAATTCAGTTCACAGCAAAACGTTGCAAATCGATTAAACGTGGAGTGTTTGGTTGTATCACTAAATTTCACTGCTGGCTGCTGGTTTTAGTATTTTCACATGCTCAATCTCACTCACAAAATTACTGGTTTTTGAGTGCAATAAAAAAACATATAAAATGACCAGTGAACCAAATTCATATTATTGACTGTACCACGGGCATTGCAGTGGTTACATCGAGATGCGTCTCACGCGTTTGAGTATCCTACTAATAATAGTCTGCTGTGCAACTCTATTTTTTCTGTGGATAAAGTTTACCAAGAACATTATAGTTATGAATTTATCAGTGCCGCGACCATTTAGCGCACAAAAATTACAACTACTGAAACGTGGCCAGTACACAGGAATTCCCGGTCAAAAATCGTGCAAGGATATATGTCAGGCATTGCCGATTAATTTGAGTGAATCAGAAGAAAACGTAACTCCAGTTGGCAACCTGAGTTTGAACAAAAATGAATTGGCGAGTCTCACTTTGACAAACGTCATGTTAACGAATTCACCACACGTCTTTGGCGGCTCTTGGGCATTCCGAGACCCTAACCTCACTCGGAGCAATGTATGTAACTTCACGTTTACATCGTCAGTGGCAATCATCGTTCCAATTCGGAACAGATGGCACCAAGTTCCAGCACTATTACACACATTGATACCATTGTTAAGGAAACAGAGAGTGTGCTATCGCATATTCCTAATCGAACAAGCTGACACAGGACCATTCAATCGAGCAAAACTCTTCAATGTCGGATTCATAGAAGCAGCCGAACGGTTTCAATTCAGGTGTGTTATTTTTCACGATGTGGATTTGGTCCCTATCAATGATTTGAACCCGTACGGTTGTGATGAGCAAACTAAAAAATACGCCGTTCATTTGGGAGTTGGATTAGATGTACGAAACTTCGAGTTGTATTTTCCTGGTTTGGTTGGTGGAGTTTTGAAGATGTCTAATGCACATTTTGTCGACGTGAATGGTTACTCAAACATGTACTGGGATTGGGGTCAGGAGGACGATGATATGGAGAAGCGTTTGAAAGCTAAACACATTCCGTACGTTCACATGAGTCCGTCGATTGCTCGCTACATGGCAATGGATCATGAGAAACAGCCACGAAGAACACGGCAGGTGCATTTACGACTACTGGGTACAGCATGGACACGAATGGCCTCGGATGGATTAAACTCCCTGAAGTACAAGGTTTTACAACTAAATGAATCTCACCTGTTCACACGTATCTTAGTCGATATTCGAGAATCCACATGGCCACCACTGAAGTCACGGATCTTTCGTAGGTTTATTCGTTATATTAAGTAAACACGGCATGAAATATTCTTGGTTGTTCAAGCACAACAAGCCTGAAAGACAATGCTAGCTAACAACAATTTTATGCGATTCAACAGTGGTGGAATAACTGCATTGATCGGTTGAACCGTTACCAATTTGCAGCAGAATTATCTTTCCAATCTCACAATTCGTGTGTTGTTATTCTTATTCCAAATCGAGAAAAGTGTTTTGTGTAAAATTTTGTGGCATTTCAGTGACGTATGAAATCGTTAATCTTTGCTTGTTACATGTATATTACTGTATATATTTTTGAACTGAACCTGTTGGATTTTTTTAACAGTAGAGCAAACCTGCCGTCTTCAGTCAATGTAGATTCCTAATGAGTAGTTTGGAAGACTCATTGGTTTGGATGAAACTCAATTGTGAAAAATCAAGTTTTCGGTTTGAATCGAACCAGGGACAGAAACAACATGCTCAAACACCGCAAGCGCTCTAACAGCTGAGCTACAAATCCACTCTGGCACCTCGGAGAATTTGTATTTGTACTCTGTTGTCCACCCATCTTAATGTTTCATATGAAATCTGTCAAAATGATTCAGGGCAACGACTGCCCTGATTTTTCAAGGTTGGATCTTATCTAAATCATTAAATCAACCAAACTACTAAGTAGCAATTCAGTTTATTCATTGAACAGAGGTGTTGGTGAATTCAGACATGAACTGTTTGAGAAATCCTGTCGAGACAGTCGATCTCCTGGATCACTCGGTAGATTTCATAAGAAACAAAGAGACGAGTGGGTAACAGAGTCCCGGAGTGGTTTCGTAACACAGCTGGTAGAGCGCTTGTGACGTTTAAGCATACTGTTTTGTCGCTGGTTCGAATCCAGCCGAAACCCTGGTTTTTCACAATGGGGTCTCATCTGAATGTGGAGCACTGTTATAATTTTGTTGAATACTATGAACATTTTCTTTGGTGGAATTGTTGCGTCCCATCAATTTGACAGTTACGATCTGAATTTTGTTTGTTTTCATACAGTTCAATATATTGACCAATGTCGAACAGTTTTCGATTCCGATTGACATGAACGTACGGGTTAGAGATATTTTGCTCGTGTAGGGCACAGTGAATGACAATTAGAAGAATATGGTGATTTGCTGTGATAATCATGGTTTTCCAACGTGTTTTGGAGTCGATACATTTACTAAGATTTTAATCTCTCAACAATTGGCATAATTGACAAATATGAGTATATGGCCCAGGCTGTAAGGTTGGCTTGCTACTTAATAAGTGTGGATTGGTGAGTGATCTGTTGAATTTTTACTGTAATAAGAACGTTACCATAGCTACAAAATTATGCGGTTTTAATAACATGCTGAGTCACGTTATAGTCTTTCTTTACCCTAAAACTACAGTACTTCATTACTGCGTTTATGTGATCGAAACCACATGTTCAAACGACGACTAGACAAATAAGTTTTTCCACAAAAAGTGATGGTTGAAAATATTCAAGTGGGCTGACTTCGTTGAATGCTTTCAGTAGCCTAAATGACTAGCCTAAATATAGTTACTATTCTACCATAACGAAACTTCTGGACGTGGAAACCAACAAGACATTTGTGAGGAAGATTTGGTACATATTGGCTAATTCATCGCTAATGCAAACAAACACAGTTTCTAAGGAAACTAGCAACAGTAAACTCGGTCCATTTGTGAGATCGACGTGATTTTTGACATAAAGCTTTCTGCACGTGGGGTCTATACCTTTCCAGCGTGGATAAAAGGGGCGTAACTTCAAGAGGACTTTCTGTAACTTCAAGAAAAATAGATGTAACTTCAAGTAAAGGAACACCACCTAGCACACTGCTGGCAGCCCTTAAAGTAGTGACTAGCACATCACCTGGGCAAGGGACACACAATGACGGTTCGTTTTCTTATCACACTTCCCGGTTGGACATAACGTGTGTCTAGTAGTCCGACCAACTTATCACCGAACTCAAAATGAAGAATAGCTCAAGGCCAAAACTGCGTCACTTGGCAAAGTTTGATGCAAAGCAAGCCGCACGGGCGTGGCCAAGTACGTCACCCATTACTAAGTCCTTTTGAAACTATCGCAGTGTTCATGTCCAAAACGGGTGAGCAACTAAAAAGTATCCACCACTGATTAGCTCTAACAGGAGCAAAACACCAATCTACTGCTTCTCCTCGAAAAGGGCTGACTGGAAAATCTATGGTGTTGCGACAGCTGCGATCAGTTATGGGTGATGACCAGTTTATATGAAAACCAAAATGCTCTACTACTCATCAGTAAATGCATAAACAGATGTGATGGTTTCAAGTTAATGTCAAGGGGCTATGTATGCAATCGATAATAGTTTGAATCCGAAAACATATTGCGTGTAACCTTGCGTGACTTCACCACGGAACATGCGTCTACACACTTATTGAACTTGAGTTAACCAGCCCGAGCCTCACAAAACACGATTAACCACAAAGATTGATTTTCAACCTGAACAATATCTGAAAGCTTAATGCGCACACTTCAGGTGTCCTTAATCACACCATAGATTCTCATCTGTCTGGAATACTAGCCAGCACAACTCATTGGAAAATTGTCACCTCTGAATTACCACCAACGTAACCATAGAGTAACCACGTAGAGAGCATTATCTCAATGACAACCTATGATCATCCGCTTCCACGTCCCGTGAACTTCTGCCCGGTTTATGTGTGTGATCGACGCCTTCCATCGGGGTTTTTCTGCCTGCTATTCCTCGTCTGTTGCTCCGATTTCGTTGAGCGATGACTCATCCGGTAGCTCGTGTTGTCCGCCATCTATCTACTGTGGGCTTTGACCGTATTCTATTACCGTGTCGAGATATTCCTCCGAGTGTTGGAATAATCGCGCCACGATCTAGTCGTTCATCGTATTTTGCTTGTCATGTCTCGCCAAGTTGAGGAATGACTCAACCGGTTGGCCATGCTTTCCACGATCCGCTTGCTGTGAGCTTTTGAACGTATCTCCCCGTGTTGAGATATTCTGCCATGTTGGAATACTCGCACCTCCGGTTTGATGATCCACCACAGTATGACAGTGCATGTTCATATATGCGGTACGTATGCGCTGCCGAACAAATCGTGTTTCTGACCACGCTCTAATTAGCCGTAATTGACTTTGAAAATCTATCTGCCTTTTCTGGGTTACAATTTCAGGCTGTTTGACCACTTGTACATTTCGTTACGTCAATGGGACTTGGTTTGTTAGCACGTGCTCTGTGCATCTACTTGAGCTACGGACCTCACAGTCCACTACCACGGTGACGGGTTATCAACTGCTAAGTCTTATTTAATGAACGTGAAAAAACGACCGTGATGCAGTATTTGCCAGCGCAACTCCAGTGAATTGCATGTGAAAGATAGTCACTATCTTCTAGGAACCGCTGGAAACAGACATTTCAGGATTAAGTTAAATTACTACGACATTTTCTTGGTGATGAGGGCCAACGGTGTTTTGATGTCCTACTCAATAACGACAAAGGGAATATCACTGACATATTTGACACACTGAGTGAGTCATGAGAAGCACGTCGAAGTACTGTTTTACGAAGTTCCAGGTGATAGTATGTATGATCTTACTGTCCACATTCAACAAGTTGTCTGATTGCCGTTATCGCGAGATCCCTCTTGCCAAATTTGAAAATGAAATGGCCCTTCAGTGTTTGAGTTCGGTGGTTTAGTGCGAATAGGCACATGAAAGGCTGTTGTCAGGAGTTAAATATAGTTTATCTTGACGAAAGCTTGCACCGTTGGTGGACATTGGGGGCAGTACTAAGCAGTTAACCCCGTTTTCTTAATAGACAAACACGGACGATACTCTAGTCATTGCCCGCTGAACCGGTGAGTCTACGAAGCCTGCGAACAAATCATTTCGGCGCTATCGATGAGGAGACCAACAATCTTGGTTCGACGACTGTCATGTGTGTGTAAAGATTGGACATTTATCTAGCGTGTTTCACAGAGGTTTGCATATGATCAAGTCTCGATCACCAGTGAAGCCTGTCGACGATCCTACCGAGAGCGACCCTGTGTTTAATGCTACGTGAAGTGTTATGACAGGTATCTGTTGCGTTAACAAAATACGTTTACCCAAACCCCCCACGTACCACCCACACATCCGCACGTATAATGGACAGTCGATTCCACCGTCGAAGAAGTGCACTGTCATTGTCCAGTAAGGCATCGAAGACGCAACTTCACTCATGTATGTAGTTGCTCAGAATTACGCACCCCTAATCAACGGAGGCGCGGTAGATACGGTAAAACGTTTGCAAGATATTCGAAACGTGATGATGTTCTGTCCAAATACTCCAGTGTTTTTGATGTTAAATTCGACAGACTGAGTGGGTTTTAGGTTAGTATTAAATTAATCGCCAATTTCTAACCTCGTTTATTCACAGCACGGACCTTGCCCTAGTCACTGAAGTCAAGAGTTAAACAGAAGCTAACTTGCCTCAAAAAGAGTGTAGAGTTTTTCCCGAACATTTTACTCCAGGCATTCACGTTTTCAAACCAAATGGACCTATGCAAAACTATGTTGACTATAAGTTAACCTTGGAAGCGTCTATCCGTACCCTGCTCCGCATAAGAGATTCGTACGTCACATTCACCAGTGACAAAAACTACCAAATTTGACCTAAGCCATGCTTATTTCCAAGTGGAACTTGGTGAATTATCTTATGTCTGCCCTACAATCATTGCACACGTGGACCTTTATCATTAAGTACGCGGTTCTCCATTGATATTAATTGGTACCTGGATATCTTTCAACAGATTATAGGCTATCTTCAATAACTGTGTGTAACTTAGATGACACCTTTATCACTGAGCCCGCGGCGTCTGAACATTTACTCAGACTAGCCAGAGTATTCGATCATCATCTAGATCGAAAAGTGACCCTTTTGTTGATTCTGATGTTTATCTCGAATATCGATTAGATTAAAACAGCATACTCACGTTGACTGATAAACTGTAACTCATTCTTGATACATCGGAACCTACAACCGAAGCTGAGCACCGTTCATCACAAGAAATTTTATCCCACTGCTGCCATTTCCTGCGACATAATTACATAACGTTTTCTCGTTTGTTATACAAAATACACCTTGGGCTTGTGACCTGATGTAGCTTTAGGCATGTAATGATATGAAAAAGAAATTAGGTAATTTTTCCCTCCTAATCTATTACGATCCGTATAAACCACTAATATTGCAGTGCAATTCTTTTCCATGGAGGGTTGGTGCAGTACTTTGTCATCTAATGGAGGACTGTTTCCTTGGATAAATTGCCTTCCCTTCACGAGATATTCAATCATCTGAAAAATACTCTCAGCTATACAAAAGGGCACTGTTTGTAATTTTTGGAGTCAGATGCCTCCACCAACACGCCTAGGATGATATTCTGAAATCCTTACAGAGTGTTGACATTATCGGGAAGAGAGAGGGGAATAATCATGCCTTCACCGAGAATACAGGGGTGGACGTTGTTTCCAGATGTTCGTTACAAAGTGCTCTTTACTAAGTTCGTTGAGTCACTGAAGTCAGCAACATTAAAATCGATGCCTTGAGTGTACTTTGTCTAACTAGTCCAACAACACAAACGAGTGAACCACTCGACTCGGCCAACCTCGTGAAGTACTTGAACAGTACGACTGTTATCAGCGAGCAGATAAGACGGTTGACGGATGAAGATGTTCTACTACCGAAATTACAACGTTCATAACATGTGAATGACCTGCGCAAGGTATTGTTGGTTTTAAGCCATTCACGATTCAGAAGGAGGAAATAAGTTCATACGATGGTGCTATATTTTCTGCGGCGCTTGCCCGGTTTAGTCACCCCA